CTGTGAGACACTCGCTCTGGCTTCACAGTATGGTGGTTATGAACACTAATTTGCATTTAAGCCCTCTCTGCGTTTTGCTCCTGTTCCTGCAAGAATACTAGTTGAAGACGTCTGAACAGAGACTAGTCTATGCGGTGATAGGGAAATTACACAGGGAAGGAAAATTGGCCATACTCAGGTGACTAAGGTTTCGTCTTAAATCTTTGGAGGTTTCTACTCTTCAAGCAGAGACAGCCCTTGAGGCAGGCGATTGTCCTGATAGTTTCTGTCATTGAATTCTGCTTTTTTTTTCTTTTTTTGAGTTGGTATCCCACTCTGATGCCCAGGCTGGAGGGCAGTGGCACGCTCATGGCCACCACACTCTTGACCTGCTGGGTTCAGCCAATCCTTCCTCCTCACCCTTGCAAGTAGCTGGAACTACTGGTATGTACCAGCTAATTTTTTGATTTATTGTAGAATTGAGGTCTTGCCAAGTTGCCCAGGCTAGTCTCAAACCCCTGGGCTCAGGCAATCTTCTCACCTCTGCCTCCCAAAGTGGTAGGATTATAGATGTGAGCCACCACACCTGGCAAATTGTCCTTTTTTTTTTTTTTTTTGAGTTGGAGTCTCACTCTGTCACCCAGACTGGAGTGCAGTGGCCGCTCCCAGCCACCGCCGCTCCCGGCCACCGCAACCTCGACCTGCTGGGCTCCGGCGATCCTTCCACCTCAGCTTTCCAAGCAGCTGGAATTACAGGTGCGCACTACCACACCCGGATAATTTTTTATTTATTGTAGAGATAAGGTCTCACCAAGTGGCCCAGGCGGGTCTCAAACCTGCGGGCTTAGGCAATCTACTCAACCTCCGCCTCCCAAAGGTGCGGGATTATGGGCTGAGCCACTGAGCCCAGCAGTTGTGCTTTTTTGTTTTGGTATACTTTCCTCTTGATTTTGAGTATACCATTGCAACTATTTTCTAGGATATTATTCATATTTTATAGCATGCTATAATTACTTTTTTAAAATAAGACAACTTAAGTTAGGCATAATGGCTCATGCCTGTAATCCCAGCACTTTGGGAGGTGGAGGCAAGACAATTACCTGAGCCCATGGGTTTGAGACCAGCCTGAACATCATGATGAGACCTTGTCTCTGTAATAAATCAAAAATTAACCAGGGGAGGCTGAGGTGAGTGGATTGCCTGAGCTCGCTGGTTCGAGACCCGCCTGGGCAACTTGGCGAGACCTCATCCCTACAATAAATTAAAAAATTAGCCGGGCATGGTAGTGCATGCCTGTAATTCCAGCTACTTGGAAGGCTGAGGCAGAAGGATTGCCGGAGCCCAGCAGGTCGAGGCTGCAGTGGACGGGAGCGGCCACTGCACTCCAGTCTGGGTGACCGAGTGAGACTCCAACTCAAAAAAAAAAAAAAAAAATTAACCTGGCATGGTGGCACACGCCTGTAGTTCTAGCTACTTGGAAGGCTGAGATGGAAAGATTGCCTGAGCCTAGCAGTTTGAAAGTGGGGTGGCGGTGACTGTGCCACTGCACTTCAGCCTGGGCAATGGAGTGAGACTCCAACTCAAAAAAATTAAATTAAATTATAATAAAATATTTTTGGGGCCGGACGTGGTGGCTCAAGCCTTTATTCCTAGCACTTTGGGAAGCCAAGGTGAGAGGATTGTTTGTGTCCAGGGGTTCGAGACCTGCCTAGGCAACTTGGCGAGACCTCATCTCTACAATAAATAAAAAATCAACCGGGCGTGGTAGCACGTGCCTATAGTTCCAGCTCCTTGGAAGACTGAGGCTGAAGGATGGCCGGAGCCCAGCAGGTCGAGGCTGTGGTGGCCAGGAGCGTGCCACTGCCCTCCAGTCTGGGCGACAGAATGAGACTCCAACTCAAAACAAAACAAAACAAAAAAAACTTAGCCAGACATGATAGCGTGTGCCTGTAGTTCCACCTACTTGGAAGGCTGAGATGGAAGGATCGCATGAGCCCAGCAGGTCGAGGCTGCGGTGGCCGGGAGCGGCCACTGCACTCCAGTCTGGGTGACAGAGTGAGACTCCAACTCAAAAAAAATTTTTTTTGGAATGCATCTAGTTCATAGAATTCATCTATTCAAAGCAATGAAAACTTCCTAAGGCCCTACTTATGTACTGGTTCCCAGGCTAGGTGCTAGAAAAACAGATATCAATTCAGTACTACCTCTGTCATTAGGGAGCTTACTGATCAGATAGAATTTCTCAAAATGTATTTTATTTTATTTATTTATTTATTTTGAGTTGGAGTCTCACTCTGTCACCCAGGCTGGAG